ATTGTGCATCGCAAGCAAATTTTTTTTACTGTAAAATATAAAAAGATAGAATATTTGAATTATTTTTGAAGAAATATCATTTAAATATATAAATTATAAGACGTTTTAAAATTAAATTAACAAAAAGAGAATAATAATAATGAAATCTATCTATATTTCTTATATTTATAGAGGCTTCTTAAATTAAGAAATATTTTTATATTTGGAATAAAAATTGTGATTAAACATGTCAGAAATATTAAAAATATATGTAATAGTTTGCATATATTTAAAAAAAAAACTCTAAGAGAGGTTCTCTTGTGGATCCGCCAATGCAGCAAATTATTAAAATTTATTAAATAATTTTCTCTCTTTATCTTTTTCTCTTCTTCGAATAATATTGTAAGAGATAATTTGGTATACATGGGGTTTATATATTCAATCGCTCGCATCGATCACATTTTCCGAAGTCAAGACGGAATCACGTTGACTCGCTGTGGGCGAATATTACATGCCGTATATATCGTTGACGTCGTAGTGACTTATCGGATTGACTTGTACGAGCTTGTGTAGTATCGATCGTTCCTCATGCTCGAAGTATCGGGACGTGGACGTTGATGACGACGCCGGTTTGTCATCGCCGTTGCCATTGTCGGCCCCCGCTGCCGGTGGGACTGCGTACTTGGCGTCGTGATAAAGTAATCTGAATTAATTTGTCCCTAATTAATTAATGCAAATCACCGACGCGGATCAATCCGCCGAATTAATGATGATCATTTACACGGCACTGGACTCTTTCAAATCGTTGCACAGAATAGTGAAATAACTTAAGGATTTTCTTCCTTCCTTTCTTTTCTCCCTTTTTTTTCCAAGACTGACAGGTAGCTCATATGTATCACACATACGTAAAAAATATTTTCGGCGAACGAAAGACGCTGGCGAACGAAGGGAGATCGCGGGAAGAGGTTGAACTCTTAACATATTGCTGTCTAGGCAACTCAACGAAGTGTTCTTCAAATTTCTTCCCGTCCACATCTATCTTTGTTGCTGTGCTTCCTTTTTCACTCCTTTTCTCCGCATCTTTGTTATCCTCTTCTCATCTCCTCGTGGACTCTTCTTACAGGCGTGCTGTCAGTCTACATCGATGTTGCCGAGTACCTAGTTGAAAGGTACTCGCTGAAGCGTACGCGATCGTCGCACATACGTGCGACGTCGATTGTATTCGAAAAATTCGCCGGAAAATTCTTCTCGCGTCGTAGTTTGAGATAATAAGTTGAAGTGCGCATACACACGCGACTCGTTTTCTTTCATCGTTCTTTCCGTGCGTATTTCCTATAGCTTCCCTTTGAAATTCTCCTTTTTAATTCTAGAATGTTAAGCTCACGAAACGATATTGAAAGCTTTCCGATAATTCTTAAAAAAACATTTAACGATACGTGCGAATCAGGAGAAATGTGTCCAAGTATCTAAATGCCTTTGTATTCCTTCGTGAAAGGCATGGAACATAGCATCATGATAAATTTTTGATTGAATAATAGTTGCAGCAATTGTGTGTATATAATTTTCTGTAATTGCGAGGGAAACAATTTCATTGTTAATACAACTCGTACAAATTATATATTTTATGGATATATTCTGTTTAGCAATTTTATTAAGTGACTAATTTTACTCAACAGCTTTAAAAATTAATAGTCATTGTAGAAAGTTGTGTACATTTTTCAATCTATATAATAATGAAATAATTTTGTATATGCAATATTATTTCATTTAGGATTAAATAAGAAAAAAAAGTTATCATGCGAAAACGAATCCGACAGTCAATTGCATTTATTAAAAATATATATCACATGATATTAACTACTATTATAATAAAAATTTCATTCTTTAAGGCAAAGTTTGACATATGTACAGTGAATTCAATACTGATTGTGAATCACGTTCACTTCGCACGCAGTGTTCAGCACGAAGTAGGTTGACAGGCACTTATCTTCTTAGGTCTCAACGGATTCGTCATCAAACTAAAATAAAGTTTATACTTTGACATCAATTTTTAAATCTAAATTCTTATAATACAATAATAATTAAAGTTTTCTCCTTTCGTGTGTGGCTGTATTCTCGCAGAATAACGAAATCTTCAATTCTACATTATTTGACAGCGTCATTCCCATCATGATTTTCTCAATGTAACATGGGAATGGGCAGCAAAGTGTTATCGATGAGAGTTTGCATAGGCATTGTTTTGTAGTTTGCTATTAAACGCCATCCATCACTCTCTATCTTGATGAAATATTCTACTAGTTCCTATTCACAGTGCAAACTACTTGATTCGAGCGGTAGTTCGCTAATTATGAATCCTCATTATATCCAATACACAACAATTGCCTATAAGAATGCATATTATAAGTAATTTATTGAAACAATTAATCTTATACAAAATATGCCGCCTTAATTTGAGTCGCCGTCATTTTTTTGTTGTACACTAGAATATATTATGAAATGTTCTTCCATTTTGCAGATTTGTGTATCATTATTTTTAATAACTTGTCTTGTATTTAAAAACAAATTATTTAACTAATTATTTAACTAAATATATATCTAATGTAAATATATATCTTACACGAAGCTGCAAAAATATAATATCATAAAAAAGAATGTCGCATTTATTATAACAACACTATAAATTATGAATGCACATATATATATCTTCGTGAAACAAATTTGTAAGTTTGGAAACAATAATTTTTAATTTATTTATCTTATGTCATTTTATTTTATCGAAATGCGAATTAATATTTAAGACAAATTAATAAACATTTACAGAGAAAAATTTTTGTTCTAACAAAAATATATAAAAGAAGCAGGAGAATTACAACTACCTTTTAATCGTTTACGTATACTGGCAGATTAATTTTGTTACGCTTTTCATCTTTACGTTTGCATCTATTCAATTTAATTTAACATTACTCAGATTCACGTAGATTTGCATAAGAATATAACCCGAGGCAATGGCCCGATCCGGCGACAGAAACTTGGAGAGGAATTTCTCTCTGTAAAACCGACGAGATTTCAAACCTTGCAGAGCAGAACAGATACAATTGTTCTAAATACTTGTTTGTATTTATTTGATCTAGAATACACTTTTTAATTCTGTTTTATGCGGATCGCTCATAAAAATAACGCTCGAGCAAGGATAGTTGCGAAATAAGATATCTCACACGTTGTTTAGATTACTTTATAGTTTGCGTGTCTTTCGCTTCTATAATCAATCTCACGTCGCTTTATACATTCCAATTAGCTTGGTAACCGGTCGACTTCCTATAGGTAATTTCCTATTAATATCCTCGTCACTGGCCGCACGCGGTGACCTGGATCGATAAGTTTCAAGATACTTTCGCGCTTTGGAAAGATAAAATTTTTACGCACATTCGTTCCCTCGATGATTCTTAATAAAGTACATCATACAAGCGCACTACTTAGTCCCAAAAATATTCCCTCACAGTGTCGAGTTACAAATAGACGCTGCTCGCAGTATTTTTATCGTGACGTCAAAATGAGAACGCTACTTTTCTGATTGCAGGTGGTATGGATGTGCGTACTTTGCAAGAAGAAGCAAGAACTTCTTTCGAAGACCGGACAATGGATGACGAGGCCGGGCCTCGCCGTGGACAACGCGATGATGCGGCAAATGCAGGAAGACTTGCAGGTGGGTGGTCGTCAGGGACTCGCGGACCAAACTCGAGATAAAAGACCGAAACTCGAGAGGGCGCACAGCGCGGCTGAGAAAGAGAATTTGCCGTTATTACAGAGAAGCGGAAACTGTCCTCTCAGGAGACAGTACTCCCAGCAAGAGCAGGTAACGTTCTCCTCGCTCGCCCGATATTCTTGTCGGAACGCACTCTTTTATTTACAAGGCAGATATACTTTTGCGCACGTAAATGCTCGGATGCTCTTACATTCATAAATATTTAACGTTGCATCGTGATAAGTTCGCAATAATTCGCACATTTGATAGCTCCGCGATTTATTTATTTACGAACGGAAGGAAAGGTCGAAGCATTTCTGTCATAACCGAAGAGAATTATCAGCCCGCGCCCTCGCGATGTACGTGTATTGCATGTATATTGCACGGAGTACTTAGTGAGCCTCGTTCCTGTGGTTGTAGATTTCCGGTCGCCGGATGTCCACAAGCGACAGTGGGGTAGAAATGTCTGTTTCACCTCACGCGAGAACTTTACCGACACCCCACGTGGTTGGTTCTTACCCGATGCAACAAACTCCGAGGCATCCTGCAGTCTATCCTGACGACGATCCCAATTTATACCGAGGCGAACTTGATGGTTTGATGAAACAACATCCGCAAAACTATTCGAGACAACGATTGACTTATCAAGTAAGAAAATCGATAATTTCGAATCGGAATAATTCTGAATTGATAATTTCAACTCTTATGAAAATTATGATATATTTATATGTGCAACCGTATTAAATTCGGCGAGCTAATTTTATTTTCTTCCCTGGGAAAAAATATTTCATATATAATTATACTTATATAATTATATAAAATTATATATAAAATTATACATAATTAAATAAAAAATTGACATATTTTATCACACACATACACACATACACACACACACACACAATTATATATCATTATATATAAAATATGTCTATATATATAATATTTTTTCTCGGAGAAGCATGCAAATTTAATGAAGTAATATCTTTCACAATAGAATATAGTCTTCTTTATTAAATTTAAATTTAAATTTTATTTGTGTGAAAGTAATAATAAGTACAAATTAATAAAAAATAAAAGTATATTATTTTTCATATCATGCATTTATTTGACATAAAATTTTTAAATTTTAATTTTTTTTAATAAAAATACTGAATGAATTAACATTGACTATAGAGAATTAACTCAATTGAATACTTTAACAAATCTTTTTATTTTCAACAATAAGAATCTTTTTATTTTATAAAATTTATTACGGATCAATTAACGACAGTTGTATATAATACAAAAAAGTTGTAACTTGATTTGATTTGATAACCATATCGGATCGACCTGCTAAGTTTTATAACATATCAATTATTTAATGCAATGCAGGATCAGGGTACAGACCTCGGAATGACTTACGGCCAGACACCAATGGAGACTGGCTCCGTTCGTTCTGCAATGCATCCCTCGCAGCATTCGTTGCATCAGACGCAGGGCGGACGTTCTGCTCAACCTACGTCAACAGTGGGCGTCACGCAACAAAGAAGTTTCAGTAGCAGCGAGGAAGAGCGAAGCACACCGGAGTGCGCCAGTGACGAGCCGGACGAATCGGAGAAGGGTAAGTGAATTCTTCAATCTCAATATTTATCTCTGATTATATTCTCATCACTCGATATAAATTAACGAGATATTTCACATTTGATTGATATTATTCATGATATAAATTTTATTTGAATTCTTCGAAGAATTTTAATTCAGAATAAAAATATTTAAAAGTAGGCTGTTATTAAATTAAAATTAATTTATATATTGTATCATAAAGTAAAATTTGGATTAATTTAAATTAAGTAGTATATGATATATATAGTTCGCGTTTTTTAAATACATCTTTTGTCGAGTCTTTTTTTATCTATTTATATATTAATTTTTTGATTAATTGGTAACTTTACACATACCATAATTAAAATTTATATTACATTTATGTTATATTATATTTATGTTATATTTATTTATTTTTTACAAAAATGCTATTACTGATTACTGAAATGCTATGACTGAATTTAAAAAATCGCTAAATGGCCAAGATCGCCGAATTTATTTTTAAGTGTACGATGGAAACATCAGGTAATTGATAGGGCCAGCCTTATTTTTGAAAATCAATGCAGAAAGAAAGGCTAATCTTTCCGATAGATTTGATTTACGAAGAACATGCGTATTTCACGATTCTTATATACATAAGGCGGTTATAGAAAGTGTAATCGATCAATCTAATGCTTGTGTTTGATTGTAAGATAATACGTATATTTATATATAAT